CTGTGTACAGAAGTCTCCATACCAGTATTCTCCATTGTGTCGTAACAACTCTCATCAATGTGTTCGCTTCTCTCCTCAATCCGTGCAGAAATCTTTTCTGCCAACTTCTCTTCATGTCTCCCATAAAGTCGTCTTCTACAGGACTGGGCAATTCTGAAAGTACCTCGGAGCCTCACCAGTATGCTGAAGACTGACAGAATTTCCACTCTCTGCCCTTTCAGGTTCTGGAAACTGACCCGTGATATCAGGCCATTGGGCAGCAGCAATATCTCGAACTTACACAACTTCCCAAAAATGAGACCTAACCCATGCTTCACAGAGGGTGGCAGCCCGTTTTTGACACTGATCCACCCACAGGGTTATGCCCAGTTACCTTGGATCCACCAGCCACAACAAGCCACTCGGAACAGACCAACATTCCACCTGGAATTCAACCGGTAACTGCCATCCCCAATGGTTGCTGCATCTTGTCAGTGTTGGAGGAGGGGCGGCATCAGACAAGAGTTTCCTAAGGTAAGTGTGATTCTCTGCATTAGCGTCCCATGGTCCTTTTTTCCTTCCGTCTTTCCTTTTGTGCAGATCTCTATACACAGTACAGAGAGTAGTGTGTCCATGATAAATTTATGGATTCACACGTCTTTAAGCTTTCTTACAGTTAACAGTATCAAAAGTCACACTACAGGAATCTTATGTTTGTGTAATATTCATTCACCCAGAATGCATATTCGTCTGTTACATTTCTGCTGAAACCCCCCACTCTCAGATCATGGATCCGTTTGTTTCATGGGGGCTGAATTTCCTAGAAACCAAACCAATCTCAATATACACTTTACTGTCTGTCTTTTTTGCTCTTAGTACAGTTTTGCAGAGCTATTTGTCTTTGTTCTAGGCAAATGCCATTTATTCTCTTCATAGGCCTGAATATGCCATTCATTCTTCCTGAAGGAAGGCTTGTAAGTCTATATCACGGACTGTGAAACCATTTTATTGAAAATAGTCATTTGGGTTAGGTCACTATGTGCTCTTTTGTATCAATATTTATGAATATTAATGCACGCAT